GTTATTTGGCTTGCCGTGGTAATTGGTTTGGGTCCGGTGAGGTTTTGAAATGATTTGGAGCACTTAGTTTCACGGTTTAGAATTTAAGTTGAAAAGGTTGACCGAATATTGACTTATGCGTAACGACCCCGGAAAAATTTTTGCTAAGGAAATTAAGGTTTGGTAATGCCGAGGTAGATCAATTAGTACAAAGATTATAGATATTCGCCGCGGCTCGGACTTTTTGGGTTGAACAATGTACCGATGTGTAAAGGAAAATTTTATCGGAAAATGGTCATTTCTGTGACCACTATGCGGTCGTAGAATCACTCTGCCGACCGCATAATTGTCGCAAAGTGGATCAGTAGAGGGGCAAGATTTGAGGAAAATCTGCGGTGCACTATGCGACCGCAAACCTGTTTTGCGGTGCATTATGCGACCGCAGAACAAGTATGCGGACCGTATAATGACCGCAGACCGGGTTAGTAACGCCAGCTTTGGAGGCCAAATTATGCGGCCGGTATGCGGACCGCATACCTGTTATGCGATCGCATATGCGACCGCATACCTGTGTCGGAGCTTCCATTCTTTCTAATTTTTGACCCGACCCAATTTTGATTTATAGCCCTTGAAGCTCATTTTTGAGCCAAAATATGATATTTTAGAGAGAGGTGAGAGCATTTTAGAGAGAGAGAGTGAAAACTTAGTCATTTATCCATCAATTCTTGTTCAAGGTTTGAAGATTTCACAAGGATCTTGCTAGGGCTTCAAAGAGGTAAGAATTTCTTTCCTCAATTTTTTAATTTCGGATTTGGAGTAAAGATGGGTGATTAATAGTATGATTCTTGGGTGTAAGAGTATTATGTATATATACCAATAAGGTTGTGGAAAGATTGTTAAGTTCAAATGGGTAAATATTGGGTTAAAAATGGCAGAAATCTTCATATACTTTAATTGAAGATTTGAGGTTCGAGTTGATGTCGGATTTTGGTAAAATTTGTATGGTTGGACTCGTGGTTGGATGGGCGTTCATATTCTGTAACTTTTGTTAGGTTTCGAGATGTGGGACCCATGGACAATTTTGAGTTAATTTCGGAATTTTTGTTAAAATATTGATTTCGTTAATTAGATGAGTCTATTGTTGTATTTATGATATGTAATTGCTTTTGGCTAGATTTGGGCCATTTGGAGATGGATACTCGTGGAAAAGGCATTGTGACCGATTGATTGAGCTTGGTTCGAGGTAAGTGGCTTACCTAACTTTGCGTGGGAGAAATCCCCTTAAGATTTGGAATTATTGTGCTATGTGAGCGCCGTGTACATGAGGTGACGAGTACGTACACGGGCTAGTTGTGGTAAAACCCAATTTTCTTGCCGAGCAGGAACATGTTTTCCTGTTATTTTGAGTTATTCCATTTTAATGAATACTAATCTATTTTCATTCTTGATTGAGTTATTCCAATATGTGTAGCTATCATGTTTAGTCTAATACAACATGTCTACGTGTCTTAGTTGTTTATGTGAATTATGTGTAGCATGCTTAGTGAATTTTCCTGCTTCTTCCCTGACTGGTACTTAGTCTAAATTGTACGAATTTCGTGATGTAGTTGTATTTCTATCACTCGTGCTGCATATTTATTTTGGGATACAGAATGATATTCCGGGAGATTTCCCTGCACATTTACTTTGGGACTACGGAGCGGTATTCCGGGAGATTCCACTGCACATTTACTTTGGGACTACGGAGCGGTATTCCGGGAGATTCCACTGCACATTTACTTTGGGACTGCTGAACGGTATTCCGGGAGATCCCCCTGCTCATTTACATTTGGGACTACAAGATGGTATCTCGGGAGATCCCCTATTATGTTTTTGTGTACTGAGCTTTTACGTTCTATGATTCCATTGTTGTTAAATTTCAGCTTTATTTTATTGCGGTATTACACTCTATATTTTTTTATTATATAATTACCAGTAGGGCCCTGACCTGACCTCGTCATTGTGGTATACTCATGATACTCTCTGCACATATTTTTCGTGTGCAGATCCAGGTGCACCTTATCAGCCGCACTATCAGTAAGCCGGGACAACTTTGGAGACTTCAAGGTATATCTGCCGCGTCCGTAGATCTCGAAGTCCCCTTCTATTCTTTCTCATATCCATTATCTTCTGTATCTTCCTTGTTAGAATTCTGATGTATGGAGACACTAGATTTTTCCTTCTGTAGGTTGTGATTCATGATGTTCCGGGTTTTGGGATTGGCTGTGTATTTTTGAACAGTTGGGTGTTAAAATTTTGTTTTCATTTTCTTATTCTGCGAATGTTAGGCTTACCTAATCGTAGAAACTAGGTATCGTCATGACGTTATACGGAGGGGAAAAATATGTTTTTTAAAATTGTTTTTACGAAACCGACCAACTTTGGTCGGTTTTCTTTGGCGCAAAAATGCGGGAAACTATTTTAGAGTCCCGCAAAATTTATTTTTCAAAAAGCCGACCAAATTTGGTCGATATTTCAATTAAAATAAATTTGGTCGGTTTTTCAATTAAAATAAATAAAAATTAATATTAAAAAACCGACCAAAATTGGTCGATTAATTCGGCCGGTCATTTTAAAAAACCGACCAACTTTGGTCGGTTATTTTCGTGCGAAAATACAATTAAAAAGTATAAATCAAATAAAAGACAGTCTTAAAACAAAATGCACCAATGACCTGGTAGAATAGTATCCTGCCACAGTACATAACCCGGTTCGATTTCCAGATGGTGAATCTTTTGATTACATATTTAAAAAACCGATTAACTTTGATTGGTTTTTTTTTTGCAATATTTTTTTTTTGTTGAATTTAATTGACCGACCAAAGTTGGTCGGTAATTACCGACCAACTTTGGTCGGTATGCCTTTCCGATCGTCAAAATACCGTCCACACATAAATGATCGCGTTTTAGTCGGTAATTGGCCATAACCGACCAAATTTGGTCGATTTTTTTGGTCGGTGTTTAGCGGATTTCTAGTAGTGAAAATAAGTGACAACTCAATAGGAACAACCGTATTCACACCAGGTTTATCCAAGAATTTTTACGAGGTACCAAACCTCAAAATCACAAATCACAGGTCCCGATTCGTGAACCCTAATCACTTGGCATCTTATGCCACATTACAAGTCATAACAGCACTGCCCAACGAATGACAATATCTAATATCCGCACGGACCACTCACGTGCGAAAAATAATAATGACTCATGACTGCACAGACAATTCTCATGCCAACAGTATAACTCTCACACATAAGGCAAGTACACGGGGGTACATGTAAATGGTCAAAACACCAGGATTCATCTTCTTAGACCGATATGGGTGATTTATCTACGTGTATGCTTGTGCAAATATTTTACCAAAATTCAAGTCAGCAAGTAAGAGTAGAGACAATGAATGGCACATAAGAAACGATCACCACAAAATGTACAGTGTAATAAAGTCAGCAATGAAATTGAAACAACGAGTAGTACCACAGGATTAGCTACACAGAAGTAAGCAAATAGCGCAACACATAGAAAGACAATTAGTAGTATACTAAGGAAACAACAATCAAATCCTAGTACAAAAGAATGGGGGAAATGTAAACAAGAGTCACTACCGAGGTACCGCCTCGTAGTCTCAAAGAAAATAGCGCAACACGCAGAAAGACAATTAGTAGAATACTAAGAAATTAACAATCAAAGACTAGTACAAAAGAATGGGGGAAATACCAACAAGAGTCACTACCGAGGTACCGCCTCGTAGTCTTAAATCATTTAAATGATTCACAATCTTTCCTTATATGACCGCGGGAGCCTTACATTTAGTTTTGAAAATTATTTTTCCCGAAATAGCATCCCGCGTTTTAGCCCACCTTATAACACCGCACGGCTTCTAGTAGTTTCCCTACTAACCACGCGTATCAAGCCCACCTTATCTCACCACATGCGTTTCAATACCCATACCTTATACCACCGCATGCGTATCAATAATAACAGCAACACGACAGAAACCTTGTGCAAACATCATAACAACAGCACGGTAGAAATCTCATGCAAACATCATAACAACAGTACGGAAGAAACCTCGTTCAAACATCATAATAATCATCTCAATAATAACATGTGTGCCAAAATATAATAACTCAACAAAATAACTTTCACAATTTGTGCCTATATACCACAACATTTCCGCAAAATAGTTTTAATATCACAATCACGCATAACCCTCGACTTAACAACACTGAATACAACAACAACAACAATAACAATAATACGGGAATATGATAAGTAAATCAACTCAGGAACTTCATAACACAAGGAAATGGTAGAACGAGCTCACAAAGGAAGACATAACAGGGAATAATAGTCTCAACAAGAATAACTCAACAAGGAAGAGATAATGTGTATCAAGGATTCCACAAAAGTACAATTCGACGATAAGAGAGATCACTACTAGAAATACAGACTTTTTCCACGAAAGAATCGGTGAAAAATCTGTGTGAAATTTCAATATTCCCACGACATTCCCAGAGGAGACGCTCAGTGGGAATATGGCTGGTGGAAAAATAGTTTCCCAGGACATTCGTGGATAATTCCCAGGAATTTACCCACTGAGGGCTTCACGAGACCTTGGTGGGGTCACATAGTATATTTTCCCACGAACGTCGTGGGAAAAGTAAGATGATATAGTAATTTAGTTTTCTTAAGTTTTCCACTGAATCTGTGGGATGTATTAAAAATAATTTAGATATTTTTTTATTTTACACATGGAATCATTGAGAAATATTCATAACCTAGAAATAAAAATATGAACATTCCCACGATGATCAGTGGAAAATATTAAAATTCTGGAAAAAATATGCACAAAATTCCCACGGAGTTCGTGGGAAATCTGAAAAATATTTTCATGGCCAAATTTGTTTTTAGAACTATACCACCCGTCAAATAGAAAGTATAACCAACAATACAAGACTAAATACAATTAAGCATTCAAATACCAAATTCAACATACAATCCAATTCATTTCATAAACAAATCCTAATTCAATCCATTTCATAAACAATATCCAACTAAACAGAAAGTAGAACAAGAACTCAAAAAATTCAGCATTCAATATTCAACATCCAGCTACCATCCAAGACAAACTAATAAAAGAAATTAGTCCTTAGTTATCATCAGATGCTGGAGAACGGGACATGGGAAATGCACCAGATACTAAGAGGGAGTTTATCTGAGATTGAGACTTTTAACATCACTAGTGATAAGTATTCCATGGTTATCATCAATCAACTGATTTTGAATGAACTCCCCCAAGATTCGTTTGAAAGTATCCTGTAAAAAAAATATAATTATTGTAAAAGTAAACTTTATTAAAGAAAATTTATGCAAGTATCTTTATTTCTCAAACTTTAAAGTGAAACACACGGAAAGATAAAAAGCTAAACAGTCTGGCTGGACTTAATTATTTTAATACTATATTTCAAAAATATCCAATGTATGAAACTTACTCGCATATAGACAATGTATCAGTACTTCTAATAGGAAAAAATTACTACACCTTCTTTTATGTAAAAATCAATACCCATAAGCCCTCTAATAGGCACCACTGGCATTTGCTCTCAATTAGATTCTATCACCTTCAACTTCTAAAGAACTAAACACCTATAAACAAAGAAAATTAAATGGAAATGTTAAGTTAAGACTGTAGCACCTCCTTAGGGAGGTTTCCACTTATTAAAAAATAGCTAATCTAACCTACTAGCAATTATTATTTGAAAGTAATTTAAACACATTATTATCATAATCTATTAGCGGAAATAGACCCATGTGAACGAGGTTCAAAATACGACATTTCAACATAGTAAAATCTCATAAAATTCTTAAAAGTACGAGAATATTACTTTTAAAAATAGTGAGCAAAACCTATTGAATTAAATCAATACCGTAAGTTGTATCAAATAATTATCCGTAATTCAAGAAAAAAGAAACAAGCTCATTTATAATATTTTCCTCAATAACTAATACATTTGTTTGCAAATTATATTTATCATTCAGTACCCTCAATTCAAGATAGAACTCGTAGCCAATAGGGTACACCTTTTAGTGCCTTGCCTACATTGAAGCATATCTTAAGCGAGGTAAAGCTCCCTTCCGGAGCTGTTCTGAGCTTCGGATCTTGAGCGTGCCTTAAATGAGCCCTTGACAATATTGATAACTAGTAGAGGAATATTTTTTAATACTACAACATTCAAGACTCATTCTAAGCATGAAATTTAACTCTTAATCTCAAATACAAACAAGTTAAGTCTCCCAAGTTTAATACAAGTACCAAATTAAATATATCACAAGAATTGGGCAAAGACTATGCCAATATAGTTGAATCATTCACAAATCGAGTTACCAATTCTAATATCTCTTTAACTCAACTACAAAACTTAACCCTCAGTGGTAGACAAACAATTAAAATATCCGAAAATATTTCTAAATTAGTCATAGCAAGTAGGGTACTAAAGTAGGAACAACCAATATAATAACTTAACGTAAAGAAAACTTTTACCAAGACTCAAGCTATTCAATTAACTCCAACAAAATAAAGCGAATGAATAATTCAAGTTTCTAAAGCTCAATCAAATATTAAGGAAATATAAATTCTCAAAGCAAGTCAAGCCATTATATGTCAATGGGTCTAAATGGGTCTCTACAATTCACAATTCTTAAAGAGAAAATCTGGGTAGCAGCTCTGCCCTATATTACAGCAGATATTTGAGGCAGTAAACTACAGAACTGGACATCTTGGTCTGTATAATAATTGTAGATATATCTCTTATCTTTTTACAGCCTTTTAAATCACCCCATTCCGATTTTTAGAGAAAAAGTTATGCCCAAAATAGTAACTGCTGTCCAATTAAAAAACGGGATTAAATTTTTGATTTTAAATGACTAAAATTTACCATGCAAAAGATATGCTAATTCACATATAGATAGAGTAAGAAACTTACTGCAAGTTTGAGAGAGTTTCTCCACAAAATTCAAAGCCTAGAGTTTCCAAAATAAGCTCAATCCATCTTGATTCTTAAAGGTAAAATCCAAATCTTCCTTCAATAGGTAAGTAAATAAGTTTTAATATTTTAAAACTTGAATTTTAATGATGGAAAAAGAATTGCATGTATATGTGTTGAGCTCTTCAATGGTGTTTGATAGATGAAGAAGGAGGACAAGACTTAAAATCCTTGGGGGGATGTAGAGATTTTTCTTTGGGGGCTGCCGAACGAATCCCCCAAAGAAAAATCCTTGAATGAGTAAAGAATAGTCATTACTCTCTTAAAATATATATACTAGACCCATAAGGTTCTTTTTTCTTTCTTTCTATTTGTCTTATCTGCCCTTAGAAAATCTCTACATCTCTTTAAAGGTCTGTCACTAGTATAAATTATTTTTTTATAAGTTAACTAAGCAATACATTCTAAAGAATCTAATGAACTAAATACAAATACATATTTGAATTAAATAAAAAAAATTAATTCTATTAACAAAATAACTTTTAAATAACATGGAAACTTAAATTTAAAGAAAGGGTGAAAATATTTTAAACAACATATTCATGATTAAAAAAAAAGTCAATTAATATATATAGTATTTTATAAAAATTAGGGCGTTACAAAGACAAGAACTGAAGTGATAAAATCATTCTCAAATAGACACATTCAAGCCCCTAATGAAATAAGGCATGAACCCATTAATTTCTTCTCTTTAATTTTGCAAAATATTAGTAACTACTCTTTTTCTTTTTTCTTTTTTTTTTTAATTCAATTAAAACCTATATTTCACCCTCATTCATGTACTTTTAAGAGAATCTAAAAAATATTTCAAAAAGATATTCCAATATAAACTTAGAAATTACTTTAGTAACTATGTCATAAAAAATGTGGCATAATTCAAGGAAACTCTAGCTTTAGATGGTGTTTGTCTGCGGTCCTAGCAGGATTATGCTTGTATTATTAAATCTATAACTACTTTTAAATAAATACTACATTATTTTACAGTTCTCAAGGAAAAAAATATTTCTCATTTTGACATAGGCAACTTAAAAATCTTTCTAATTTCTCCATATTTGTGAAGAAAGCCTGTAAATATATAGCACCAATCCATATGTAAAAAAAAATAGATCTGAAAAATAGACCAAACTAATAAAGAATAAACCAACTCAATATTGTCTTTTAACAAATTTATTGTTTCTAAGACAAAACAAATAAAGATTTAGGTTTAATTAGACTATACATGAACAAGAGAACAACAATAATTTTTTTAAACTTAGGGTTTGAAATAGCAGAAAATCCCTAAGTTTCAAAAAATCAAAATCGAAAAAGGAGTGGGAGAGAGAGAGAGAGAGAGAGAGAGACTTACCTGAAAATTGAGTGAGGTGAAGAATTTGTCGTTGGATTGGAGAGATAGAGAGAGAAAATATGAAATAGACTAAGAGAAAATCAAAAAGTTATGCGAAAATCAAAAGGTTATGTGAATATTAATAAAACTTTCCCACTACTTCCGTGGAAAAACTTTTTCATAAAGTACAAAATTCAAAATTCAAAAATTTTCGTTCACACAGAATCTGTGGGAATATTTGAAAATATTTTTTTTATTCACTTTTTTCCCTGTGAATTTTTTTAGTTTTATATAATTATTATTTTTTTGACTTTTTCCACCGAATCAGAGGAAACTAAATTACGCGCATTTTTGCGCAAAAACGTTCTCACGGATAGTCAATGGAAAACATTATTGTTTATTCGTGGAAAATAAATTTTACTTTTCCCATTAAATTTCGGTGGGAATTGCCACTAACAATTTGTCCGTGAAAAATTTCTGTGGGAAAATATTATATTTTTAGTAGTGGATAATATGAATCAATGATTCCAACTAAGGATAAGTCAACAATGAAAAGGGATAACAAAATTTCATTCAAGGTTGAGCAATTACGGAAGAGATTCAACAAGTTCAATTAAGGATAAGTAATTACGGAAAAGTTAATAATTACTTCAATTAAGGATAGACAATTACGAAAAAGATAGCATGGCAATAAAAAAGGCAGCAACTTCAGTTAAGGCACATAAGAGTTTAATCGGCAACAAGGGTAGAACATGAAGCAACTAATTCCAAATAAGACACGTAAGAGAGAATTTAGTAAATGGGGGAATTTAGCATGATAAAACAACTTCATATCTAATGAATTTAAGAACATAAGAGCCCTAAACGGTCAAATATTTACAAATAAACCCGACCACGTACTCGTCACCTCCTGTACACGGCCTTTACATGACACAATTAGCACAAACGACTCAAATCCTAAGGGGTAATCCCCCCCCCCCCCCCCCCCCACAAAGTTAGGTTAGACCGATACACTAAAATGACCTTCTCAAGTGAAACAACCTCCGGACGGCTCAAATCTAGCCAAAATAACTTCAAATTATAATTAAAACTCATAGAAAATAATTCTGGATAATAAAGCTTCAATCTTTAACAAAAATTAAAAAGTGAACCCCCGGACTCACACCTCGAAACCCGATAAAATAAACAAAACCCGAACACCCATTCCGATACGAGTTCAACCATACCAAAATTACCAATTTCCGACATCAATTCGTCCTTCAAATCATCATTTTACATTTGAAAGTTTTTCTAAAAATCCTCATTTTCCCCAACTCAAACCACTAATTAAATGATAAAAATAAAGATGGAATCATGAAATACGATAAATTTCAGACAAAGAACACTTACCCAATTGAACACGTGAAGAACCTCTCAAATATCGCCTAAATCTGAAGTTTATAACTCAAAATATGAAGAAAATGGCCAAACCCTCGAATTATATGATTCTGCCCAGGTATAATCGCACATGCGACATGATTAGACACTTTTGCGGCATGGCTCTTGCGATAAAAGAACTGCGCCTGTGCAACCCACTGACCAGCGGCCCTCTCGCACATGCAAACATTCTTCCGCGCATGCCCAAATCGCTTATGCGCTCCAGCTCGCTTCTGCGTCCAATATTTTGATTCTAAGGAGCCGTAGATGCGCACCAATTTTCGCATCTGCGAAGACTGCCAAGCCCAGCCTTTCTCAATTTTACGCCTTCATCTTCGCACCTGTGACTATCGCACATGCGCCCAGTGGTCTGCAGGTGTGATCACACCAGAACTCAGCCCAAACTAGCCTCACCCAAAAATGCTCCAATTGATCGAAGCTCGTCCGAAACTCACTTGAGTCCCTCGGGACCCCGTCCGAAAATACCAACAATTCTTATAACATAACATAGACCTACTCGAGTCCTCAATTCACACCGAACAATGTTGAAACTATGAATCGCACCATGAATCGAACTTATAAATTTTCAAATCTTCCAGCTTCCAAACCTCGTGCTGAAACATAACAAATCAACACAGAATGGCGTCAAATTTTGCATATAAGTACCAATTGACATAATGGATCTAATACAACTCTCGAAATTACGTTCCGACCCCGATATCACCAAAGTCAACTCTAGGTCAAACATCTCAACATTCCAAAACTTCAACTTTCCAATCTTCGCCGAAATACTTCAATTTACTCTACAGACCTCCAAATCCAAATCCGGATGCACGCCTTAGTCCAAAATCGCCATACGAAGCTATTGGATTTATCAAAACACCATTCAGAGTTGTCTACACAAAATTCAAAACTCCGGTCAACTCTTACCGCTTAAGCTTCTAAAACAAGAATCCTTCTTCTAAAGTGACCCCGAATTATCTGAAAACAGAACTCGACCACACACGCAAGTCATAACACATAATATGAAGCTGATCGAGACCTTAAGCCGCCGAGCGGGATGGTAGTTTTCAAAACGAACGGTCGGGTCGTTACATTCTCCCTCTCTTAAACAAACGTTCGTCCTCAAACATGTCAAGAACCATTCTGAAGTCATCAAATCACTAAAATTTATTCCTTCCACCATTACTAATTAGCCTAAGAACCAAATTTCTCACCATCAGATCATTTCCAAAAGACCCGATTCCTATATCAACACACAATATCAGCCTCAACCAGTTGTAATACCTTATGCCTATACCCACAAGATACAAACACATGACGTAACACACTACACATATGTCCATAACAACATTTCTGATCACAATAGCTGTCCATAATCAAACCCAGCTCCGACAATTAGCCTCATATCAGCTAGGACCCCGTTCCAAACCTCCACAACACCGACAACGAGGCAAGAAACATGAAGATTTCTTGACTATTCACTCAAATCAACAAGTCAAATCTAACGCCACCTGGGCACACACCTCACAAGCTAAAAGCCAATAAGCACATCACGAATATGACTGAATATACAAGGAAATACAGGAATGAACTATCAAACAAGTCCGACAGGCACCACTCCCTATCAGTACCATACTACGAATCAATTTTACAAGGGAGAGTCAAAACACATGAACTAATCACATGGATCTTATCCTGCTTTAACTTCCACCATGGCACGTAGCCCGGTTCAATATATCAACCATATGAAAATGCGAGGACTCCATCCTCAACTCGAAATCACAAGTAGTATACACGTCATACCAACTGAAACCTTACACTAATTCAATTTTCGCTAACAAAGTCACAACACATACTGAACTCCCACACCGGTAGAGCATCTAAACCATGAATCGCAACCAACTGTCTTGATATCACATCCAAACTACCGAAATGAGTAACAAAAAGCCACTTATAGTCTCATAGCTCTCAATAATGAATAAAAACTAAATGATAGACACTGACTACCACTATAAAATCTCCCAACAGGGGTAAACACATAAGCAGAGTACCAAATCACTAAACTCACCCGTATGTGAAGTAACATAGGAGGACTCTCCCTGATAAGTAGAACCGAAACAAAATACGAATGATGATCCTCTATAAGTAACCGAAACCATACCTGTACAACATCATCTGGTGCAATGACCTCATCCGTATCATAGACAGCACATCAACGGGTCAGACCTCCCCCTCTTGGGCGCCCTCTACTCGCCCGACCTGTACTCCAAGCTGGCAGTGCAAGAATATCACCAACTAGAGCAGAACTCATAGTCTGAATACCCCGCTGTGACACATCTATCCGGAGTCTAGGACAACCTCTTACCATGTGGTTGGTATCTCTACACTCAAAGCAACCTCTCTACTGACGTGTCAGTGGGAGATGTCTGGCAGGGTACCCTGAGACCCATGGGTACCTGGAACACTGCATGAAGTCGGAA